CTGTCAAAATATACATGTTGTTGTTGAATGCAGCAAATTATGTAATGAACCACTGGGTATATTTTAATAACAAAACATCACAAACCCTCATTCTTGGATATACATGTACAACTCTAAACTTGAGTCAATCATAGTCAAGATGGCCGAATTAGCCTATTAACCCAAGTAAACATGATAGTGGCTATTATTATGGGTGCCTGATTGTCAGTCTTACAAATATTGAACTAATATTAATTGCAGTAGTAGCTGAAACTTATTCACAACACAAACTCCAATCTCTAACAAATCACATGGCATAATGAACACCCAGCATCCAGGAAGCAGAGTTGTCCTGTACACTTTGATGATGATGATGATGATGATGATGCTCCTCTGTTACCCGGCTGAAAATGTCAGCTCACCCATGGCCTAAATTAAATGATTTCAGCTCTGCATGTAAATAAACAGCACTTAAAGGGCAAAGCAGACCAGGAGAAACTTCAAAGATCTCTTCTTCAAGCAGCCAAGGCTTATCTGTCATGTCATATTTCATAAGAAATGCATGCCGTGTCTTTCTCACTGATGTGAAGGCTCTTCCTGCAGGCCAGTGTTCAATGAAAATAATTGTGGCAAGCATGAGAGGCAGAGAGACGGACTTGGAGACTTCCTCAAATAAAAACTGCAGGATTAATCTGGGAAAAATTACAATTTTCACAGAAAATTAAGTGCTGAGAGCTGAATATCTCCAAGTTTGGTGAAGAAGCTGAAACCAAGTTGTTGACGATATGATTAAAGAAAACAAAAAATAGCTACATATTTGCCCAAAGCTTAAAAAAAAAACAGGAAAGGTTAAAACTAACTGAACAGTAGCAAAAAGATAAAATTAGCTAAACAAAAGCTAAATGCTACAACTAGCAAAACAGTGCATGAAACTTCAATTCAGCAAAATAGCTAAAAGCTGAAATTAGAGCAGTAATTAATAATGAAGCAAAAACAAACACAGTTGCTAAAAGKTTAAACCAAGGGAACAGTAGCTAAATGCTAATTTATCAAAATAGTAGATAAAACCAAAAGGGCAAAACAATACMTAAAAGCTATGACTAGCACAACAGTAGCAATAACAAAGTAACAAAAATAAATTTATTAAAAAATAAATAAAATAGAAATAGCAAAACAGTTGCTGAAAGCTAACATTACCAGAATGAATTAGMTGAATGTTTTGAAACCTCAACAGTTGAAAGTATGTTGKAAGTAAATAAAAGTCCAAAAAATATATGGTGGAAAAAAAAAACAGGCTTAAACATGAAAACCATATAGTGAATGTTGACTTAAAATTTACCCAATTACCTCTACATGCTCAAACCTGGATAAATCTCAGTGACCCTTTGTGGGGATGATGTAGGCATGAAGACAAACTAGGCAAAAGACAAGTTTAAATACAGAGACAAGCACAGAAGCAGAGACAAGCAAAGAGACAGTTAAAGGCACAGAGACATGTACAAAAACAGAGACAGCGACAGGTCCAGAACCTAATGATTGATTTGTGCTGCAATATCAGATCACCATAGATTGATGGCACCAACACCTACTCTGCCTTATCAGATACTGCAGCGTCACAGTTGATTTATTTAGGTCGCCTTGTGGGGGTCAGTCTATTCTGTGCTCCGTTTATAAAAAGATTTTACAACATTTTTACTTTGACATTTTGAAATGCAAACCCAATTCAAAAAATTTGGGATGTTGTGTAAATGTAAAAATGTTAAAAACAGTAAATCTCATGTCCTTGATTCATTCACAATGGAACATAGTAAACATATCAAATATTTGAACAAAAGTTGTCAAAATTTGGAGGAAGAAAAAAAATTAATTTTGAATTTGATAGCCACAGTACAACTTGGAAAAATTTGGCAAGGAGCACACAAGGCTATAAAAGAAAGCGGTATAAATGAGAAACAGATGGAGGAGCATTTTGCAACAACTGGGTAATCTGACAACAGGTCGGTAAGAGGACTGGATATAAAAGAACATTTTGGAGACTAAATCTCTCAGAAGGACAGCTGGGCAGAGGTTTACCAGTCTGAAAAAGAATTTTAAAAAATAGCTAAAACAGTTTCAGAATAATGTTTAACAATAATGTTTAAGAAAAAACTGCAAAGATTCTGAATACCCAATCTACAACTCATATCATCAAAATAKTAAGAACCTGCAGTGATCTCTGTTCACTGGATGTACTGTTACATCCCACTGACACCTGCTGTACTCACTATAACTACACATCTACAGGAATATGCATTAAATGCACTTGGTACAGTAAACTGCACCAGTCAATTATTTTAAGTTTAATTCTTGGCTCACTGCAGAACAGAATATTTATACAGAAGGAAAATTAAATTGTGAATAGTTATAACCAGTGTCTTATATCTCTATAGGATTCTGGTTGTAACAAACCAGTTGTTTAACATGTACTCATGTGCCCTCTAGTGGTGAAACCCAGCAGCGTTTATGGATAATTGTGTTACAGAGCTCAAATTAAATCAAGATTCTCTGCAGCCACTTTTTACCCAGAAATCTGTTATATTTTAACAAATGACAAAAAAAAGCATAGCTTAACATGTCTCATAATTTACATTTAATCTAAACCTATGAAATGACTTCCCTTTAGTTTATATAAAAAATAAACTGCAATCTRTATGGTTTGAATTAAGTATATACTGTATTTTTCTAAATAAGTTAAATTTGTATTTAGTAGAAGCAGCTTGGATGGCATGGATAATCTTTTTCTGTCAGCTCGTGTCTTTGGGTATCTTTAAGTTGCCATGCTTTCAGTAGAAAGGCTATTTCCAAGCTGTCTTTTTGTCCAGCTGTTTCCAAGGTGACAAAATGTAAGAAAGTATTCAGATTTATGTTGAGTAGAAACATGGCTCTACAGCAAGCATGCAAAAACTAAAGTTATCAACCCAAGACTTGACTTGTGTCATTCAATGCTCTTACCACTAGATAGAGACAACGATCCATCTGGAACCAGAGATGTACTATGGCTAAAATCACAGTATCACCAAATTATCCAAAATATAATCATCATGGRCATAGTGTTTAGAAAAATTATGCACATATGCAGCAAAATACAAAATAAAATTAAAGGTCTTGCATGTCTTGAAAGAATATTACACCTTTCATGACAAAGTTTAAGACAAAGATCATTTTGTGTTGAGAAATGACAGCTATAGCTATGCTGGTCAAAAACATTATGCACGATCTTATGAAATATCCTGCATAATCTCACATGACCTGTTAGGGCCAGGAGTACGTCAGCTACTACCACACCCAAACTTRGCTCAATGTACAGTGTTATGCTAAAGCCATTACATGCAGCTTAAGGTCAACAAGCTGTGACAGACATCTTGGTACGGGTTAACTCTAAATGTTAATCAGTTTTAGATGAACCTAAATACTGTCAGAGTTTATTCAAATCCATCCAGTGGTGGTGAGATGTTGCTAAAACACAAACAAGGTTAACTTAAACGATTGATGCCAGGGTTAACAGAAAACATATCCTGCATTTTGCTGAACACAAAGTATGTATTGGGGACGAAGCTCAGCTACAAAAATATCCAACAACTGGCTGAGTTAGTCATTTTTGTGTCTTCTCACGTCAGTTGACTAGTGGCCATCTTGAACCGAGTTAAATCCAAATGTGAAACGGCAATTCACCAAATGCTTATTTTTGAAAGTTTTTTCAATAATAACTTATTATACTGCAGTATCTGACAGGGATGGAAATCTTTTACTCTCATGTCCTGATGCATCTCAGTAATCCAGGTAAAAAAAATCAAAAAGAAAAAAATGTATAGGTCTTCTGGACGGGTTCTTCTTTAATGAAACGTTTCATCTCTCCTCCAAGAGACTTCTTCAGTCTGAGAGTTTCAGGCAAAATTCAGGCTTTTAAGCCCAGCCTGCATGGTCTGTGCAAGATTAAAATCAGACACCACTCTCAGCAGCAGAACCACACTTTCCACAGAACAAGTGTGCCAACTC